ATTCTGCTGAGGTGAAATTCAGTGCAGTCATGTATCGTGATACGTATCGTATCGTGGCCTCTGCATCGTGATGCGTATCGTATCGTGACTTTGCTGGTGATACACAGCCCTAAAAATAACATGAATTACTGAATAATTCAAGGATATTTTCTTCAAATACACAAATTATAGGCACTTTTCAGATGGGACATCAAGTTCATATGCAACAGCCAACTTAATCTCGAATACCTCCATTCTACTCTCTGTTGTTGGTGTTTCTTTGTCTGCACACAGCACTGTTCACATGCTAAGTAGTAATGGAGCATTTTAATGAGTACAGGAGTGCAATATCGGGCCCGATAGGGTGCATCCCTAAAAAAAAAAGTACTGAGAAAAGTTCATTTTTTTGAGCCATTTCATTTTTCTGGTTTAAGAAGTTGAGCCAATGTTAAAATTTCTAATTTAAATTTAATTATACATTTCTCAGTTAAATTTATAAAATACAGCAAAGTACTATTGTTTTGTTTTCTCCGCTTACATTTTTATTTATTAATCTTTATAAGGAGCGTGTTGTAGGTCTGTTTTATTAGTTGTTGTCTCCACATCCAACCAGGAAAGAAAGAAAGAAAGAAAGAAAATGAATTTTTTTGCACTTTAAACAATTTTATGCACTCTACTTGTGTTAACAGCCAGGTTTCTTCTTTACGATAAACAATATAACATGGCGCTGTTTGGTTTATATTTATTTGTTGGGCCCTCTTACCTTAAAGTTCGTTTTTAAATACAAAATGTAAGTTTGTTAAAGAAAAGTGGGAAACAAGTTGAAATAATCTGAAACTCACCACCAGGAAACATGATGAGAGCGTTTTGCAATAGTACATTGGATTTCTGCTTCAGCTGTTGGTTCTCCACAGGTGAAATGTCTTCCTGTTGGCTCAGATGATAGTAGGAAAGAGCCACAGAAAAGGAAAAGTTTGGCAGCTGGGACAGATTTCGATGGACCTGAATCAACAGAAGTACAGATAATGTTAAATGTGCAAAGTACCAGTGTGAAGTGTGTATTATTTAGACCAGGGAAAGGCAACGTCGGTCCTGGAGTGCCGCTGTCCTGCAGAGTTTAGCTCTAACCCTAATCAAACACACCTGAACAAGCTAATCAAGGTCTTCAGGATTATTAAAGCTTCAGACAAGTTAGGGTTTTTTTTCAGGGTTGGAGCTAAACTCTGCAGGACATCGGCACTCCAGGACCGACGTTGCCTACCCCTGATTTAGACGCTAAGCACAGCTATTTAGTAGCATAACAGATTGCTTGTTGTGTCCCAAATGTGTGACAACTGCATCTCCACCACTAAAAACATTAAATATTTATTGGTCAACTGTTGAATATGCATTATTGAAGGATGCTGAGAAGATACATCAGTAACTGGTCAGAGACTAAAACCTACAAACAATACCTACAGTGGATATAAGAATCTACACAAACCTTGTTAAAGCTGCATCTTTTTTTATATTAAAAAAATAACTCCAAGATAAAATGACATCAGAACATTTCTTCCTTTAGCCAACAAGGTCAGATGCGAATAAAAACATGAATACACTGGAGAGTTGCTTTATAATAGAATTTGAAGTTGTAATTCTGTAAAGCTGCTTTCAATCTATTGTTTGTTAAATGCTATATAAATAAACAAAGTGAGTTGACTGGAGTGCCAAATTACAGAGCAGGTGCAAACATATCCACACGATGAGATGATTTCTTAACTGCTGTTTTCTCACTACATTCATTTTTGTTACGAGTTTATTTTGTTATTGAGATGAAAGCATGCAGTACATATTTAAGTAGCATGAACAGTAGCAGTAGCATGGGCGTTGTGTATTTAAAATATGTATATACTTAATGTTATTTTATTCTCAAATAAGACTACAGTCTCCACCTCTGTTCATAACAACTCCTCAAACCTTAGTTGGCCCGCTTTTGGGCAGGCCAAAAATCCCTGGAGGCTACCCCCAAGGAGGCTTGATCAAGCCCTGGAAGTGACACCCATGTAAGAGTGGCAAGGAGAAAACCACTGCTAACCCAGAAGAACTTTAGGGCTTGACCAAATTTTGCCTTGATGAAATTCAAACATTTTGGGAGAATTTTTGTGTACTGATGAGTTGAAACTATAATTGTTTGGAAGATGGGGTCCTTATACATCTGGCGTAAACCAAACACCAAATTCTACAAAAAGAACACCATACCTACGATCAAGCATAGTGGTGGCAGTGTGCTGTTGGAAGGATGTTTTACTGTTTCAGGGCCTGGGCAACGTTTTTGAGAGAATAATTGAGGGAAACTAACTCTGCTCTCTACCAGAATATCCTAAAGGAGAATGTCAGGTCTTCGGTTGAAGTTGAAGTTTAAATGCAACAAGATTATGCAGTAAGACAATGATCTAAAGCATAGCGGCAAGTCAACCTCTGCAAAATTAAAGTTGTGGAGTGGCCTAGTCAAAGTCCTGACTAGAACCCAATTGAGATGTTGTGGCAGTTCAGTACGATAAGTTCTTTACCTCCCATTCCTCATAGAGTCGGATGAGGGTGGTGTACTCGCGACAGCGCAGGCACAGGAAGTCAAAGATCAGCAGCATGCAGAGAGGGTCATTATCTGGATCCAGACTGGAAGCATATTTAAAAAGATTTTTAAAAATGACCTGTCATGTTTTATACAATACGTCTGGCTGACTGACCATGGATGATGGATTTTGTTTTATGAATGTGATACATTTATTGTATTAATCTGATGTGGGCTAGTACCTCAGAATCAGTTTGCAGTACTCCAGGGCTGTACGTGGACAACCTCTCTTCTCCAGAAATATCATATGCTTGAACAACACTAAATAAAAGGCCCTGTAGATACAGAAGAGAGTGAGAGATTTCGTCAAAAGTTATGCTTTCTCTTAATGGTGCTCCAAAAAAACAATGATGAATAGTAACAATATAGATGTTAATACCAACAAGAATTAGTGTGCAGCATATCTTTCTGGGCACCTGCAACATGATAATGACTGTAATGAAGGTCTCACCTGTTCTCTGGTCTGCAGTAGTCCAGTCGACACGTGCCTGACGTCAGGCTGAACACAGGGTGGAATGCACACTCAAAACTATATAAAGCCCTTTCTGCAGAGACAAACAAAACAAACAAATGCTGTACTGTATATTCCCTTATATTTTAAACATATTATCATCTCTTCTATATATCAAACACCATCTCTGGGTCACTTTCACTTATGATGTGTATTTGAAAACACACCATGCCAACCATCTTCCCAAGCTTGTAATGAGAATTATTTATAAAAGACCTTAGTCAGGGTAGCACCATATTTATTTTTTGACAGGAATGACAACAAGGCTCTAAGCAATAGAACTTGGAATGCGCGGTTATTTAAACAACATACCTAGTGTTCAGTTGATGAACCGGTTTTTCCGAAAAAAAAAAAAAAAGTTAAGTAAACAAAAACACTATTAAATTACATGATCTAAAACCTTTATACAGTGCGTGCCACTGTAAAGACTGCAAGTTTATCCCTCACAGCCTTGTTTTCAAACGTGTCATATTTAACCCTTTAGGCGCCAGGGTTTTTTTGGAAAAATGCTGGATTTTGACATCAAGATTTCAAATGCTTGTGGCTTGAAAGGGCTTAAAGATAGAGATCTAATGTAAATTAGAGAAATGTTGGGCATGACCGAAAGTTTATGTGGGGTGTAAATATACTCATCTAATTTGCATATTATGACGTCATCAGGGGCGGCCCTCTTGCATGTCATAATATTCATAATAGATATTGAATTGATGTTTGAACTTATTTGCATGTTTTGTTTTTTTTTTGTCTTTTTAATCCTCATTCCAAATTATCAGAAAAGAGGAAACCAACAATAAAACAGGAGAAAGTACTAAATTATTACTTTACTGTATAGTAGTAAAACGCATGTGAACAGTAGTCTACTTTTTGATCAGTTCATCAGTAATATTCAGGAAATAATAGATATTGAATGGTTGTTTGAACTTATTTGCATGTTTTTGTTTTTTTTATCTTTTTATCCTCATTCCAAATGATCAGAAAAGAGGAAACCAACAATAAAACAGGAGAAAGTGCTAAATTATTACTATATTACTATACTATATAGTAGTAAAACGCATGTGAACAGTAGCCTACTTTTTGATCAGTTCATCAGTAATATTCAGGAAATAATAGATATTGAATGGTTGTTTGAACTTATTTGCATGTTTTTTTTTGTCTTTTTATCCTCATTCCAAATGATCAGAAAAGAGGAAACCAACAATAAAA